TATTGTTTACAATTATACATATATTGTATAGACTGCATCATGCTCACCACCAATAGTCTAATTTTTATCTGTCACTACACATATGTGCCTCTTTACCCCTTTCACCCACTCCCCAACCCCCTTCTCCTCTGGTAATCACTAATCTGTTCTCTTTATCCATGTGTTTGTTTATCTTCCACATATGAGTGAAATAGTGCAGTGTTTGTCTGTCTCTGTCTGGCTTATTTTGCTTAACATCATGCCCTCAAGGTCCATCTGTGTTGTTGCAAATGGGACGATTTTGTCTTTTGTTATGGCTGAGTAGTATTCCATTGTATGCGTATATCACATCTTCTTTATCTAATCATCAGTTGACGGGCACCTAGGTTGCTTCCACATCTTGGGTATTGTAAAGAACGCTGCAATGAACATAGGGGTGCATAAATCTCTTTGAATTGTTGATTTCAAGTTCTTTGGGTAAATACCCAGTATTGGGATAGTTGGATTGTATGGTATTTCTATTTTTAATTTTTTGAGAAATCTCCATACTCTTTTCCATAGTGGTTGCACTGCTTTGCGTTCCCACCAGCAGTGTATGAGGATTCCGTTTTCTCCACATCATCTCTAACATTTGTTTTTTTTTGTCTTGTTAATTATAGCCATTTTGACAGGTGTAAGGTGATATCTCATTTAGTTTTGATTTGCATTTCCCTAATATTTAGTGATGTTGAACAACTTTTCATGTGCCTGTTGGCCATCTGTATATCTTCTATGGAAAAATGTCTGTTCATATCCTCTGCCCATTTTTTGATTGGTTTGTTTGTTTTTTTGTTGTTGAGTTGTATGAGTTCTTTATATTTTTTGGAAAGTACCCCTTGTCAGATGTATGATTTGCAAATATATTCTCCCAGTTGGTGTGTTTTTTCATTTTTTTGCATGGTTTCTTTTGCTTTGGAGAAGCTTTTTAGTCTGATATAGTCCCATTTGTTTATTTTTTCTTTTGTTTCCCATGCCTGAGTAAACATGGTATTTGAAAATATGCTGCTAAGACTGATGTCAAAGAGTGTACTGCCTATGTTTTCTTCTAGGAGTTTTATGGTTTCAGGTCTTACATTCAAGTCTTTAATCCATTTTGAGTTAATTTTTGTGTATGGTGTAACATAATGGTCTACTTTCATTCTTTCGCATGTGGCTGTCCAGTTTTCCCAACACCATTTATTGAAGAGACTTTCCTATCTCCGTTGTATGTTCTTGGCTCCCTTATCAAAGATTAACTGTTCATAGATGTGTGGTTTTATTTCTGGGCTTTCAATTCTGTTCTATTGATCTGTGTGTCTGTTGTTGTGCCAGTACCATGCTGTTTGGATTACTATAGCTTTATAGTATATTTTGAAGTCAAGGATTGTGATGCCTCCAGCTTTGTTCTTTTTTCTCAGGATTGCTTTGGCTATTCGAGGTCTTTTGTTGTTCCATATAAATTTTAGGATTCTTTGTTCTATTTCCGTGAAGAATGGCATTGGGATTTTGATTGGAATTGCATTGAATCTGTAGATTGCTTTACGTAATATGGACGTTTTGACTATGTTTTATCTTCTAACCCATGAGCATGGAATATCTTTCCATTTCTTTATGTCTTCTTTGACTTCTTTCAATAATGTCTTATAGTTTTCACTGTATAGGTCTTTCACCTCCTTGGTTAAATTTATTCCTAGATATTTTATTCTTTTTGTTGTAATTGTAAATGGGATTGTATTTTTGACTTCTCTTTCTGCTAGTTCATTATGAGTGTATAGAAATGCAACTGATTTTTGTAAGTTGATTTTGTACCTTGCAACTTTGCTGTAGTTGTTGATTATTTCTAATAGTTTTCCAATGGATTCTTTAGGGTTTTCTATACATAAAATCATGTCATCCACAAACAGAGTTTCACTTCTTCCTTTCCAATTTGGATACCTTTTATTTCTTTTTCTTGCCTAATTGCTCTAGCAAGAACCTCCAGTACTGTGTTGAATAGGAGTGGTGAGAGTGGGCACCCTTGTCTTTCTCCTGTTCTTAGAGGGATGGCTTTCAGTTTTTCACCATTGAGTATGATGTTGGCTGTGGGTTTGTCATATATGGCCTTTATTATGTTGAGGTACTTTCCTTCTATACCCATTTTATTGAGAGTTTTTATCATAAATGGATGTTGGAGCTTGCCAAATGCTTTGTCTTCATCTATTGAGACTACCGTGTGATTTTTATTCCTCATTTTGTATATGTGGTGTATCACATCGATTGATTTGTGGATGTTGAACCATCTCTGCCTCCCTGGTATAAATCCCACTTGATCATGGTGTATGATCCTTTTAATGTATTGCTGTATTAAGTTTGCCAATATTTTGTTGAGGATTTTTGCATTAATGTTCATCAGCAATATTGGCCTGTAATTTTCCTTCTTTGTGTTGTCCTTGTCTGGTTTTGGTATCAGGGTGACATTGGCCTCATAGAATGAGTTAGGAAGTGTTCCATCTTCTTCAATTTTTTTGGAATAGTTTGAGAAAGATAGGTATTAATTCTTCTTTGAATGTTTGAGATAATTCTCCAAAGAAGCCATCTGGTCCTGGACTTTTGTTTTTTGGGAGGTTTTTGATTACTGTTTCAGTCTCTTTACTTGTGATTTGTCTATTGAGATTCTCTGTTTCTTCTTGATTCAGTTTTGGGAGGTTGTATGAGTCTAAGAATTTATCCATTTCTTCTAGGCTATCCAATTTTGTGGGCATATAGTTTTTCGTAGTATTCTCTTATAATCCTTTGTGTTTCTGTGGTATCCGTTGTAATTTCTCCTCTTTCATTTCTAATTTTATTTATTTGAGCCTTCTCTCTTATTTTCTTAGTGAGTCTGGCTAAGGGTTTGTCAATTTTGTTTATCTTCTCAAAGAACCAACTCTTAGTTTCATTGATCCTTTCTACTGTTTTTTTTTTTAGTTTCTATTTCATTTATTTCTGCTCTAATTTTTATTATTTCCCTCCTTCTGCTGACTTTGGGCTTTGCTTGTTCGTCTCTTTCTATTTCTATTAGGTGTAGTTTGAGATTGCCTATTTGAGATTTTTCTTGTTTGTTGAGATGGACCTGTGTTGCTATGAATTTCCCTCTTAGAACTTTTGCTGCATCCCACAAGAGTTGGTATGTTATATTTTCATTTTCATTTGTCTCCAGGTATTTTTTTATTTCTCCTTTGATTTCTCCATTGATCCAGTGGTTGTTCAGTAGCATTTTGTTTAGTCTCCACATATTTGTGACTTTCCTAGCTTTTTTCTTGTAGTTGATTTCTAGTTTCAAAGCATTGTGGTCGGAAAAGATGCTTGATATGATTTCAATCTTCTTAAATTTACTGAGGCTTGCTTTGTTTCACAACATTTAGTCTATCATTGAGAATGTTCCATGTACATTTGAGAAGAATGTGTATTCTGTTGTTCTGGGATAGAATGTTCTCTATATATCTATTAAGTCCATCTGATCTATTGTTTCATTTAAATCCACTATTTCCTTGTTGACTTTGTGTCTGGATGATCTATCCATTGATGTAAATGGGGTATTGATGTCCCCTATTACTATGTGTTGCTGTTAATTTCTCCCTTTAGGTCTGTTAGTAGTTGCTTTATATACTTTGGTGCTCCCATGTTAGGTGCATATATATTCATAAGTGTTACGTCCTCTTGGTGGAATGTCCCTTTTATCATTATATACTGCCCCTCTTTGTCTCTCATTGTCTTTTTTATCTTGAGCTCTGCTTTGTCTGACATTAGTATGGCAACATCTGTTTTCTTTTGTTTGTCATTTGCTTAAAGTATCATCTTCCATCCCTTCACTCTGAGTCTATGTTTGTCTTTAGAGCTGAGACATGTTTCCTGGAGGCAGCATATTGTTGGGTCTTGTTTTTTAATCCATCCAGCCACTCTCTGTCTTTTGATTGGAGAATTCAATCCATTTCCATTTAGAGTGATTATTGATATATGAGGGCTTAATACTGCCATTTTATTTCTTGTTTTCTGATTGTTCTATATTTCCATTGTTTCTCTTCCCTTGTTTTTCTGACTGCCATTTCAGTTTGGTGGTTTGGTTTTCTGTGATGGTTTTCTCTTTATTTATGAGTTGTGGCTCTGCTCTGATTTTTTGTTTAATGGTTATCATGAGGTTTATATAAAAGATATCATAGATGAGATAGTACATTTTCTAATAGCCTCTTATCTCCATTAGCCTAAACAGGTTCTATCCCTCCCTTCTTCACCTTCTGAGTTACTGTTGTCACAAATTATTCTGTTTGTGTTGGAAGTTTGTGATTAAATTGAAATTTTGATAACTATTTTTGATGCTTTCCTTCCCTTTATCTTTTATTTTATGATTAAGTGTTTGCTAACTTGTTCTGATACAGAGCTGCAATTTTCTGATTTTTGTCTGATTATTTATCTCCTTGCTCAAAGCTTTGTAAACCTTTGCCTTTTGTTTCATGTATGAGGGCTTCCTTCAACATTTCCTGTAGGGAGGTCTAGTGGTGATAAACTCCTTTAGCTTCTGTTTATCTGGGAAAGCTTTTATTTCTCCCTTGCATCTGGAAGATAGTTTCACTGGATAGAGTATTCTTGGCTGAAAGTTTTTGTCTGTCAGTAGTTTGAATATATCATTCCATTCTCTCCTTGCCTGTAAGGTTTCTGCTGAGAAATCCACTGAAAGCCTGATAGGGGTTCCTTTGTAGGTTATTTTCTTCTGCCTTGCTGCCTTTAATATTTTTTCTTTGTCATTGACTTCTGCCAGTTTTACTATTGTGTCCTTTGGAGAAGGTCTTTTTACATTGATGTAAATAAGAGTTCTATTGGCTTCATGGATTTGCAAGCCCAGTTCCTTCCCTAGGCTTGGGAAGTCCTCAGCTGTTATTTCTTTGAACAAGCTCTCTGCTCCTTTCTCCCTCTGGAATACCTATAATCCTTATGTTGCATTTCCTAATTGAGTTGGATATTTCTCAAGGAATTTATTCAGTTTTTAAAAATCTTAGTTCTCTCTCCTCCTCCACCTGAAGCATTTCTATATTTCTATCCTCCAAATCACTAATTCTGCCCTCCATAACGTCAGCTCTATTATTTAGGGATTCTAGATTATTTTTTATTTCATTCATTGTGTTCTTCATCTCCAGAATTTCTGTTTGGTTTTTTATTTTTTAGAGTTTCAATCTCTTTGGTGAAGTATTCTTTCTGCTCATTAATTTTATTCCTGAGTTCATTGAACTCTCTTTCTGAGTTTTCTTGTAACTCGTTGAGTTTCTTTATGACAACTATTTTGAATTCTCTGTCATTTAGATTGTAAATTTCCATGACTTCAGGATTGGTTTCCTACTGTAGTTTTTCACGGTGTTTGATGAACTGGTCTTTTGCCGGGGCATTTGTAGTAGTATCAGGTCACAGATTCCACTTGCCAACTCTGGGGGGCAAGGGGCAGAAGCTGTGTTTTCTGAATCCGCCATGTCTGCTGGAAGTTGTGCCAGTAGGGCTCGCCTGCATTTCCCTGCTGGCCGCAGCCACTTGGTGGGTCACACATGCATGCACTCTGGTGTGGGACCGCTGCCTTGGCAGGGGACAGGCCAAGCTGGCGCACTAGGTGGGTGGGCAGGGGCACTTTCTTTTGCATGTGCAGGCTGGCTCTGCACTCACAGGTGGTTTTCCTGAGCTGCTGTGCTTGGTGCAGACTTCTTCACAGGGGCTGAGCCACACCACTCTGTGGAGAGCGTTCCCATGGGCAGGGCAGGGCCGCCGCAGCACAGTGGATGCTCCTACGGCTGGACTGCAACTCCAAAAGTGAAAGTGTTATCATGTAGGCCTGGCTGCCCACCACTTCCTGTGATGCACGTACAGTTGCACGCCGGCTGCTATGTGAGGACCCGTGACCTAGATCGCTGCCACAAGGGAGGAGAAGGGATCTGCTTACCTTTTTCCACTGCTTCCTGGGGATCCAGTCCCCCCTTCAGATGTATGGCTGCATGGATCTTTCAGACGTCCTATTGTGCCTTGTAGGGAATCCTCTTGGTTAATGAATGTCCATTTAGTTGTAACTTAGGGGGGAGAGACAAAGGGAACAATTCACTCCACCATGAGGTTGACATCACTCCTATCTCAAATATTTTGCTAAAGGATTTCTTAATTTATATTTATCAATTGACTTCAATTCTACCCTCCCTCTTAAATATGTTTCTTCACAAATATTCAAATTTAGGGATTTATGTTCTTGGTGGTGGTGGTGGTGGTTTTTTTCTTGTTGCTGTTGTGTTGCTTACTTCCTGACACATCTTCATCTGTGGAAACTAAGAAATGGCCCAGAGAGGACAAAGAACATCAAATAATCCTATTTTGTGTTCATTCTTTATCTTTTTAATTTTTCACTCTAAGTTAACTGTTTCTGCTTATTTCTCCTCTAAAGTTTGGAGATTTAGGCTTTACAAATTTCTGTCTCAGTTTATATACACTAACTTCTGAAAGAAAAAATAATTTCGATTTATCCAATTGAATCTCCACCAGTTTTCTATAACTTAAGCTGTCACTTTCAGCTGCTAAGTCAAGAATGTTCTGCAGGGATGACAGCAGCTTCTGCTCATCACCTTTTCTCTTGCACAGGTGGGAGCCAATGCATTAGTTATAGTAGCTTTATTGAAAGTTCCATACGACATTCTACAAAGACAATTATGTTTTATGCAAATAAAATGATTTCCTTTCCAATCTGGATTCCTTTTATTTCTTTTATTTACCATATTATACTGGCTGAAATCTATTTAAAGGGGTGTTCAGATTTGCTGGCAAAGCAAAATCCAACACTATACTATGTTCAGATGTCACAAATTTCTGAAGGCTGGAAGTTGGAGATGAGAGTGCCAGCACGGTTGAGTGCTGGTGAGGACACTCTACTGTGTTGCAGACTGCTGACTTCTTCTTGTATCCTCACATGGCAGAGAGCAGAGAGAGCCACAGTTGTTGCTTCTTGTCTCTGTTGGCTATATTTCAGTTCTGAAATTGAAGGGCCATGCAGACAAATCATTGTGTGGAAGACTGGGCATTGGACTGAGCTGCAGTGATTGTTGTATGAAAATCAGCAAGATACAGACAAAATATTGTAGGCATTGGCTTCTCAGAGAGAGAAGAGATTTGTTCTAGCATCAAGGAGAGTCAGGAGAGGAGCTTGGATGGGGATTCTCCAAAGTTTGGAGCTGATGCTCTCCAAACATTAGTCTTGCTGTCTTTTGGGCTCTTAGGCTGAGTGGGGAATCATGAACTTGCAGTTTTGAAATCTGGCTACTGAAAAGTCATTCTGGGGTTAACCCCCATGCATAGGAAAGAACTGTGTAAGGCCTAGCTGTGTCGGGGGCAAACTACGTGGTTAGCAGGCTGACAGAGTCCCCTGCCTTCTGTACCTGCAAGACAGCATGTCCCTCTGAGTGTTATGTTCTGTTTTAATCAGGTGCCATCTTGCCTTGGTAAAACTCTACAAGTGTCCCTTTCTGAGGCAAATTTCTACAATGCCCAAGTCTTGTTTAATGTCACGGAATGCTTAGCAACCCTTTCAAGTTCTGAGATGTCCCAGTGCTGCTTCTTTCTTTCTTTTCTTTTTTTGTTTTCTTTTTTTTTGTGAGGAAGATTAGCCCTGAGCTAACATCTGTTGCCAATCCTCCTCTTTTTGTGGAGGAAGATTGGCCCTGAGCTAACATCGGTGCCCATCTTCCTCTACTTTATATGGGATGCTGCCACAGCATGGCTTGATAAGTGGTGTGTAGGTCCACACTTGGGATTTGAACCTGCGAACCCCAGGCTGCTGAAGTGGAGTTTGTGAACTCAACCATTACGCCACCTGGCCAGTACCCCCAGTGCTTCTTTAAATGAGGGTTCAATGCCTATCTGCATGTGACAGCATTCTCTAGGGTGCTTGCTGGAAATACAGATAACCTAGGTCTCATCTCAGGCCTCTTAAATCAAAATCTCCAGAGTGGGTTCTGGGAACACGTATTTTAAAGCAATCTGACTCTGTACTCCCCACATTTAAAATCCTCCAATGACTCCCCATTGCTTCTAGGGGAAAACAAACATTGTATGTTTCCATGGCCTGTGGGATCTGCATGATCTGGACCCTGCCTGCTTATCTCCCATGAGGCTGTTCCTGCATCTTTCAGCTCATAACCAAAATAGCCTCTTGTCTGTCCCTCATAGCAAGTTCCCTCCTTCCACAGGACCTTTGTACATGCTCTTCCTCTGTCTGGAATGATTTTTCCTCCCCACTCTACCTAGTTAACAACAAATCATCATTTAGGTCTCAGCTCAGGAGTCCCCTACTGGGTCATATCCCCTTATTATTTGCTCTCATAGTACTTGTCCCCTGTTCACTTGCGTGAATAATTGATTAACATCTGAGTATCCCAACAGACCATACACTTTTGAATGCTGGGCCAGTGTCTGTGTTTTCTCCCACTAAATCCACAAAGCATAACACAATGTCTGGCACACAGTTGGTGCTCAATACATATTTATTGATTGAAAGAACCATCCTTTCCCTGGTGTGATCTCATCCAGTCTCATGATTTTAAGCCCCATCTGCTAGCTAGCGACTCCCAAATTTATACCTTCCACTCTAATAGGCGTCTCCAAAACTGAACTCTTGATTCGCTCTTTGCCATCTCAGAAAGTGGTATCATTCACCCAGTTGCTTAGGACCCCAAACCTGGTGTCATTCTTAACTGTCTATGTCTCTCACCCAATATTTGATCCATCAGCAACTCTTACAGCTCCCCTTCAAAATATTTTCAGAAATTTCTACTTCTCACCTGCTCCACTGCTATCACATTAGCCCACGTCATCATCATCTCTCAACAAGACTGATTTCTGTCATCCTCTTCTGAGGGAAACTCTTGGGTCCGTAGAAATAAAGACCACTCACATGGGAACAAACACTATTTACTCAGTGTTTGCTATAGCACGGGAGTCAGTCACCATCATGCATTTGTCAGGGACTCAAAGGCAGGTAGGGGAGTGGGAAAGATTTATGGTGAAAAAGGGGAAGGTTTCAGGTATGCTTGATTGGAGGCTGTTGGCATGGGGAAGCAGGAAGTGGACTAACTAGAAGCAAAGCATCCTATGTGATTGGTTTGGGGAGCATATTTGGCTGTCTCTGGTTGGTCCCGAGTTGGAAGTGGCTGCAATATTAGGGAAGTTGGCAGTCACTGATCAAGTCCTGACAATTTTGGGCCAATTGCTGCAGAGGTTGTGGTTTGGCTTCCTAGACTGGTTGCTGCAGAGGTTGTGGGTCAGAGTTCTATTTTTATAAGGTGTGGCCATTGTCCATTTGTATATTTAGTCTTTCAGGTTGATGGGGGCTTCTGTAACCACTTGGGTATTTTCTCTTCAGTGGGTATCAGAGAAGCTTTGCTATAAGTTTCGGGTAATAGAAGAGTGGACAGGTGGGTCTATATGGAGGCATGTGGGTATCCAGGAAGGCTAATAATGTAGTACCCTTTCAAACAGATAATCTTAAGGTATGCATTCAGCTGAAAGCTGAGGGGCTGAAGCAGGGGTAAGGTCGGAAAAGAAGGATGCTGGAGGCAGGGCTCAGCCTCACACTTAAGCCCCCAAACAGTAGATCTGGCCCCTAAGTCCTAAGCTTCCAAGACCCACCTTCCTTAAAAGGAATCTACTGTTTCTTGTGGTACAGTACAGCAAAATGGCCCCAAATTCCTCTCATCCTCATATACAATCCCCTTTGCTACTCCTTCCATCAACAGGTAGAGTCTATTTCCTTACCCCTTGAATCTGGGCTGGATTTGTAATTTGCTTTGGCCAATAGAATGTGGCAAAAGTGTCATTATCAACTTTTGAGGCTAGTCCTTAAGAGGCCCAACCTGTTCTTCTTGGTACAATGTCTAGAGACCAGTGTAAGGAAGACCACGTAAGTAAGCCAGTCTAGTCCCCAGGAGCATAAGAGACCACATGGAGGAGAACAGAGGTGCCCTAGCCAAAAATCAGCACCAAATGCTAGACCCAAAAAGGAAGCCATCCCAGGCCTTGCTGCCCAGCCAATCCTCCAGTTGATAAAGGCACA